GGCGGGGGTGTTTTGGGGTGGGCGGGGGTGATGCACCCCCGCGGCGGGGGTCCGGGGGTCAAACCCCTACCCCGGCTTTGCCCCCGAGGCCCCCGCGTGACAACCCTGCCTGCTGGGGTGGTCCCCCACAGCTGCTGTGCGGGGCCTCCAAAACCCAAGGCCCAACACTGCCAAAACGAAGGCCTTTTTTTTTTTTTTTTTTTTTCATTCCCTGATCTTATTTGTCACACAAAACACAACCAAAAAGAAAACAAAATTATCATGAATTCGAAGAAGAAAAACATCCACCAACAAAAAATCTATAAAAAAAAACACCACCTTTTTTTTTCTTTTCTTATTTCTCCTCTCTGCCTTTTCTGTTTGTTATTGTTTTTTTAAATCCTAAACATTGTCGGATTGCCGAATAACAAATATGGGGTTGTAGGGCTTAAAAAACCCCACAACCCCATAAATATATATATTTTTTTCGTTATTATTCCAGGCGTAAGAATTCGTGCAAATTCATGGCCGCTATGCGGCCGAGTATGGCCGCGGCCGCCCTATGAGCCTGACCCCTCGGCCATGGCTGCGGAGGATACATAGCTGGCTATGGAGGTCCTTGTGTTGTAGTGGATGTACTGTCACATTGGTTTTGTCTTAGTGTGGCAGTGTCGTTTCGACTGTGTGTCGTATGTGGTCACGTTTTTTTCATGTTGTCGTTTCGCACAAGTGATGTTTTACGGGTTGGCCTGGTCCGTTATATTGCCATTTGTGCTATTGTGGCGTTTACGTTCTTTTAGAGAAAAGGTGTTTCGGTGTGTGTGAGTTGTTTCTACAGCGTATTACCTAGTTTCAAGTCCCATAACCAAAAGACTGAGGGAGAGTCGTTGCCTATATTTGCGTCCTAATTTGTGTTTACTATAAATGATATTCATCTGTGTTTTCGGCCTAGTTGTTTGTGCAGTTAGCACCATCGGTTGTGAAAAAGTTTTTTTTTTAAATTGATTTATTGATTTATAGTATTTTTAATTTTTTATACCGACTTTTCTATGTATTATTTTTTAATATATTAATATTATTGTACTATTATCATTTTATTAATATTATTATAATATTACTGTAATTGACACTAATTGTATAATTATTATTTTTTTATTATTGTTTTTAGAATAACTTTATAATTTTTAACGCTATATGTGTGTGTGTGTGTGTGTGTGTGTGTGTGTGTGTCTCTCGCTCCCAATTTCCTCGTAATGGGGGTCCAGGTGAGATAGGTCTCTTTATTTTTTTAGTAGTAGGACTTAGTAGTGCGTTTGTTAGGGCAGTATTTGGTATGCACCGCGCCATCGAGAGAGCCAGGGTTGGGAGGGAGCTCGCAGGGGGTAGCAGACGGGCTGCCTCGTTTTATGCATATGGGATAACGTGTTGGGGGGGGGTCTGTTTTCGGGTGTGTGGGTTTCGCCTTGTACAGGGGGGTGTGCGTACTGTCGCGCCCAAAGAGTGTAGTATGTGTTGCATTCCTTCGCAAGGTCTGTGTTTCTGTTTTATCTTACCTGCGGTGTCGTATCGTGGTCTGGCAATGGAGGTCCTTGTGTTGTATTGGTCATACTATACATAGTGGTTTTGTCATAGTGTGGAAGTATCGTCTCAACAGTGTGTCGTATGTGGTCACGTTTTTTTCATGCTGTCGTTTCGCACAAGTGATGTTTTATGACTTGGCCTGGTCCGTTATATTGCTGTTTGTGCTATTGTGGCGTTTTCATTCTTTTTTAAGAACGATTTTTGTTATGTGTGGGTTGTATTTACAGCGCATTACCTTGAACATGTTATTCGTTAAAATATGACATTATATTGTGTCCTCTTTCTAACGAATTCATTTTTGGCTGCATTCCAAGCAACGTAGGCACGCCCATCCACGAGAACCTTTCTAACGAATCCATTTTTGGCTGCATTCCAAGTGTGCTGAGATCCGTACTTGTGAAACTTTATAAATGATATCCCAAATGAGGAAGCGTGTTCAAACCCGTACATGTTAGGCACGCCGCACGGGAACCTTGTGTGGAAGTGTGCCGGGATCCTTACTTGCTGAACTTCAAAAACATGGCAGTGCTGGGATCCGTACTTGTTAAACTTCATAAACGAATAACGACAGGAACGCCCATTAGGGAACCCTGTGCGGAAGTGTGCTGGGAGCCTTACTTGTTGAACTTCAGAAATGTGTCGTGAATCTTGTGCCAAAGTGTGTCGGGATCCGCACTTGTTAAACTTCATAAATGAATAACGACAGGCACGCGCATCAGGGAACCCTCTGCGGAAGTGTGTTGGGATCCGTACTTGTTAAACTTCAATTCCATAATTGTGACGAGCAATGTGTCATGATTGCATCCTCGTTGGATAATTATATTAGAAGACGTAGAGTAGTGACAGACACGCCCATCCGGGATGCCTGTGCGATAGTGTGTCGGGAGCCACACTTGTCAAACTTCAAGTTTGTGAATGTGATGAGCAAGTTGTCATGATTGAATCCTTATTGGATAATACTATTTATTTCTTTTATGCGTGAGTTGTACATGCATGGCTATCGTCTCGTCCGAGGCGGTTGTCTGAATGTTGTAGAGATTCAGACTTCTTTAGAAGTACAAACAGTAACTGTTATTTTTGACATACAATTTATTTTTTCCGGTCAAGAACGCAAAATTGTCGGTCACATGTAATTCAGGCGGGTCACAAGTACATGATTGTCTATGCACACAAGAGACGTGATGTCACTGGTCTTTCACTCTTTGCATAACGAACATCACACCCACACACTCGCCGATATTTGTCTTGCATCCACACTCCAATTCGTCATGTCGCACCACACACACGAATATCATTTCGAGGTGAATTATATGCACAACCTTGGATGACCTGGACATAATTTGCAATGAGGACTGCAATGCGATGAATGTAATGACACGACAGTCGAGCCGGACCTGACAGAGATTCCGAAGGCAATACGCGACACCAAACTGGCAGTCAACATACCAAAGACAACTCAAACCCGCAACACTGAAAGAAAGTAATGTCGTTGTGAAAGCGACAGTTAAAATATGAAATATTCTAAAACAGAAGTTTGCAAATCAATCGAATCCATCAAAGAGAACGGCATTCTAAGACACATGATGCCAGTTGCCGTCTAATATACGAAATATTTTTACAAGAGAACCTGAAAGGCGGTCGATCGCCACGTTGCAACAGTGTCGCAAACATCAACATAAACATCCCACAACTAACTCCATCCACTTGTCTTGGAACTCCCTCTATAACAACATTTGCTGCCATCGACTTCCAGCGCCTGCACGAGCGCCTATGTGATGTTTCACATTCCAAATAGTGTACGATCAACTCGAAAACACTAAGGTAAAAACTAGAATCGGCTACAACGCAAGGAAAAGAATCGAAAATCTCAAAAACATTATCTCTCAAACTCACGGAAAGGAGGATTCAGTGATCATTATCTTTGAGGACTGGAACAAAGATAATATCATATTCAAGCAGATCCACGTTTTTAGCCCATCTTTCCACCCCGCCATGCCCTTGAAGTTGCAGTTTACTGAAGAAGAAAGAATTAAAGGTGAAGACTCGAAGGCCTGGCGGGATGTCACTTGTCCCATATGCGGTCGTTCCTAATAGCGCCATGTAGAAGTTGACCACCTCATCATTCACCCTGCCGTCGGTAAGTGAGAGKGTGAGAATATCCTTCGCTGCAATTCGCAACTGACCATCGCGGAGGGTCGAGAGTACAGTGTCAGGTGGCACCAAGCCTCGTTCAATGTCGTCCAAAACCCGCAAGCTTCATATCGCAGTCACTGCTGTTCCAGGTGCCGTGGCCCGCACTGCACAACATCGAGCGAAGGACAGGGGGGGAAGTGAGAAACGGAACACTAAGGATTCTCCTTCATCGCACGACGAGAAGCTAAGTATTTCTCATACATGGCCAGACCCCTAGTCACAGATCGTGGATATGTCCCTTTCTCTGGGGGCAGAAGGGAAAGACACTCCTCAATGGCAATGGCATGCTCCTTCTTCCCGATTTCGACATCAACCCCTGACGCCTTTAACATGTCCTTGTGTTTTGTCGTCAACCCCGGGACTGTATGCAGTATGTGTTCTGGATATTTAGAGGGTCTCCGTATTCGAGATGACCCTACCCCTGTACAACAGAAGAAAGATAAAACGGAAAGTGAATACATGTTTCTGAAGAAGAACCTGACGAAACGACAATTAAAGGACCACGAAATCTAAAAGACACAGGACCCATGCAATTACAGAACCCCGTCATGCCATGAGAGTGCGAGAGAGAGAACTTCCGCACGAGCCACGTTGCAAAACAAAACTTGCAGTGTACTCGAGCTCGACACCCCGCCCTTCAGAAGGGAAAAGAACATCAAGTCACAGAAGCGGAAGGCAAACATCTCTGAAGTCCGGATCCCGGCGGACTTTTCTAACCCAGGGAGATGACCCAACCCCTGTGCAACCGAAGGAAGAGAAAACGGAAAATGAACTCACGTAATCCAAGACGAACCCGACGAAAACGACAACTCAAGAACCACGAAATGTAGAAGACGCAGAACCTATCTATTTACAGAGCCCCGTTTAGCCATGAGAGAGATAGAGAATACTTCCGCGCAGGCCCCGCTGGAAAACAAAAAGAGCAGTGCGTTCGACCTCGACACCCCCGCCCTTCAGAAGGGAAAACCTCAACAAGCCACAAACCCGGAGGCTAAACATTCGTGAAGTCAGGATCCCGACGGACTTTTCCCAATCGAGGCACCAGAAGAGTAACCGCGTTACGCAGCGGCCTTGGCAGTGTGGATCCCGACGGACTATCATTCCGAAAGAGAAACACCATCCTGCCATTATGTGAGGGAACGCTTCAACAAAAACACACATGTTTTTGTCTCATGCGTATTGACAGACACTGTGGTCACTGGCGCGCAGACAGAGTAGCGTTTGTCACTGCTTACCAGCTGGTTTGTCTCTCCGCTCCTTAATCAGCGAAGTTGGCGCGGGCAAGGCCAGCACATCGAGAGCTCGAGTGCCGGTGGCAGTTTTTTTCGGGGATGTGACATCTTGTCGTCCCCCGATCCCTCGTTCTCCTCCGCTGGCGATGGTTGGCGGCAGCATCGGAGAGCTCGTCGGCGAGAAATGGACGACAGATCCCCCGGAAGGTTTGACGTCGAGAGGGTCGTCGACACCAGGCGTCGAGGACGGCTGCGCGGACATGTGGTGGTCGCCCAGGATGCCGTCGATAACTTCTTCGATGTCAATACGCACACTCGGTTTAGTCAGGTTGATTGGTACACGAGCTTCGTTGAACCGGTGTTGGAGATCGACGGCAGACGTCATTGTTTGGACGTCATAGTCATCACGTTCTGCCGAAAGGCTTGTGACCACCTGTGTCTCCATACACAGTGCCGTGTCATCGTCGTCCTCGTCTTCCTCGCGGTGTTCTCCGTACAGCTGCCCGAATCCGTTAGAAGACTCCCCAGATCTGTCATCGTCGCCGCCAAAAGTCCGTTCGTCGTCTCCTGTATCGAGTTCACCTTTTTCCCCCTCCTGCCCTCCTAGCAACCCAGCCAACTCCGTTTCTTCCCCTTCCTCTCCTTCATCCCTTCCTTCCTCCAATTCCTCCCCTGTGTCTCCTTCCTCCACTTCCTTCTTTTTGTCCATCACCCTGCCTTCTTCCCCTGCATGCAATGCCGCCACTTCGCCCGAACCCGTGTCGATTCCCGATGAATGCGCTTCGCGCCTGCCGCACGCAGCCCCTCCCGCCTGCACCAATATCCCTGGTTGGCCCCCCTTGCCTGAAGATGTTCGGATCCCGGCGAACTTCGCCGACTCCCTGTCGCTGGGCCCTCCACACGCCTTGCCTGAAGAAGTTCGGATCCCGGCGAACTTCGCTGTCTCCCTGTCGCCGGGCCCTCCGCACTCCTTGCCTGGATCCCGGCGAACTTCGCCGTCTCCCTTTCACCGGGCCCTCCACACGCACCCTCTTGCTCCGACCGAAGCGGTTGGCGATCCCCCGCAGGCGGCGAAGTCCCGTCCCTCACCGCACCGCTGTCTATTTTGGGATGAGGACTCGCCACCCCCGCTCCTGACCAGCTCTGCGCGTCCGTCCTCTCTGTCCGCTCTGCAAGCATTGAAGTTTGGATCCCGGCGGACTCGAACGTTTCGACCGAGCCAGCACGGAGAGCAACCAAGGCCGCCATCATCGAGCAGGCGGATGAACTGGGCACGTCCTCCGACTGTGCCGAGCATTCCGGACCGGGACCGGTAGACTGTTGACGCCCGAGGGCCTCCCCCGCCACCCCGCCGCTGCCTTCCGCTGTCGCCCTGAGACCCGCCCTCAGCCTCGTCGTCGTCTTGTTGTCGCCCCGGGACTCGTTTGCCGCCCCCATCCTCGTCGCCCTCGTTCTCCCCACCTTCCGGTCCCCGGGACCCTGTTCTTACATGTGTCCCACTGGGAGGGGGGATTTTCCAGTCCACCCTTCCTTTCGAGGGGCTCGTGTCGAGGTCGTAGTAGTCCTCCGTCAGCTCCAACCAGCACTTGTCCTGAAGTTCGGCGAACAATCGCCCGGCTGTGGAAATGACGAACACGTCTTCGGGCTCGAAAGAGCGATTCTCGGCCCTCACTTTCTGGAGGACCGCAATTCTAGCGACGTCGAGGAAGTCAGACTTCGACCCGCAAGGGAGTGGCATCCATCCTCCGTCCGGGACAGCGACCGCCACGATCCACTCACCCTTTTGGATCGCCGGCAGGATGACTCCTGGATGTCAAATCATGTCATGGCCCTAGTCCGCCTCCGTGGAACGACTTTGAGGCTCAGGGAGGAAGTGAATGTTGCCATTCGTCCAAGACAGATGATCGGGCGGGATGTCAGACCCGGGACGCAGTGAGCGATGGCCGGAGGCCAGAGCGTGCATTCTCTGCAGCAACTTCATTGGGGTAGTGCCAGGCGCCGGTTTCGCCATCGCGAGGGACGCCGGGCTTGTCGACGGACCTGCCAAGGACGACCCTGTACCGTGCTGCGCGGAATATTGGTCGTACTGCAGGTCGAGGCTTTCGGTGTCTCTGCCCTTCTCGTCCGCGGTCGCGTTGAACTCGATGCCGGTGGTCTCCTCGTCTTCCGTGGAGATTAAGGAGGAGTAACTGCCGAACGTCAGCTCCTCCTCTGACTCCACGAAGTAAAGGGACTGCAACCTCTCGAGGAAGGTATTCGCGTTCATGCGGGAGGCGCCGTGGTACTTGTCGAGCAATGTGAACATGTGGTCCTTGCGGCGCACGTACTCGACGTCGGTGTCTCTCTTCGGCCGCGTTTGCAGGAACAAGAAGTCGTATATCTTTTTCCGCTTCCTCGCACTCAACTTGAACCACATGTCCGTCTTGTTGTTCCACGCGCGAGCCCGAGTCTCGGTGACGACCATGAACTCGCAATTGTGGGCACCCGAATTGACCTCTCTTTTGACGAGATCAATTGTAAATTGCAAGAGCTCGGAGTTCCCTTCCATCGCGATGACGTGCCATCTTGCCTTCTGTACTTTTCAGACTGACTGCGCGTGTGGCTTCCCGAGGAAGACGACACCCTCCCCCTTCTTGGTGATGGATTCGAGAAGCTGAACGAATTGGGCGGGGTTGCGTTCCATGTCCCCGTACACAATGCCCCGACGTGCAGGCGAGGTATGCGACCAGTCGCAAGCGTTGAATGGGATGTCGGACACATCCGTTTGCGTAACCTTCTGTGGTACCTGCACTGCAGCAGCGGCGCCTGCCGGCAGTTTCCCCTCGTAGACGACGAACGTGTTGGCCCGCAAATCGTCGCCTTTGAAGAGTATGTACATCCGGTCGTCTTCCGTGTACAAATTGTTCCCGATGGGGAAGCTTTTCTTCTGTTGACTCCTCCTCACCCACTTCCCTTCCAGCAGCTTGACGAAAGAAAGATGGTTCATGCTGGCCAGAAAGGAGAGGTTCTGCTGCCGCGGGACAAAAACAACGAGCGTCCAATGCGACGGACACCACGTCTGGAGTTGGGAATTCAGAGTGTCGAACGCTTGCGGTTTCCAAAGCTTTAGGTCCACCGGTTCGCACAGATCGAGGACGAACGTGTGACTCTTTGTGGCAACCACTGCCTCCTTCACCTCCGCACTCCTTATGTCTGCCTCCAAGGGGTCGTTGCCGAATGGCGCGATGGATGTCACGTTGCCCGTGTCATTCCATTTTATGTGCACAATGCCTTCAGCGAGCGCGATCTCTGGACTCTTCAGTCTACCGCCAGTCAACACGGACAGGACCTTATTCCTCCTGTCGACGACCAGCTTCTTGTGACCGGCCAGCTTCTCCGTCGCCTCGATCGATCTGTCGTCGTCGCAGCCCATGTAGGGCGGGCAGTCCTTGAACAGCGAGGAGCCAGTGACGTATTTCGTGCTCCCGTCCCACAACTCAGCATCCAAACCACGACTCTCAAACTGTCTGAAAATTGCGGACCTTGATTTCAGGAACGGGAACCTCTGGCTCCAATCCGCGTCTGGCCTTTTGTCGTGCTTGAACTGGTAGTAGTTCCACAGACGCACCAGCACCCGGTCGCACTTCACCAAATTCACCACCTCCTGGACGCTCAGCTTTCCGAGCTTCGCCAACGCTGGGGAGCCGGCCTGTACCCAAACCACCTCGCAAGCGAGCACCTTTTTCAGGACGCGGCACTTCTCGTTGTCTGTCAGCGACTCCATCGTTTTCCAACAATGCACGTCCGACTTTGGCACTTGCACGAACCACTCGCCCTCCTCTTTCTCCTTCTTACCTTTCTTTGACGGCGGTTCCACAGGGACGTTGTACACGACTTCCTTCCTGCCCAGCTTGTCATTATGGATGTATGCAACCCCAGGCTTCACATTTTTTACTTTCTTCTTCCGCATGATCCACTTTGCGCCATCGTGTCCGAGCAATCTGCCTGTCTCCCATTTCTCGAAAAACTCGACGACCAGTTTCCAGACATTCTCCCCTGCCATCGCCAGCGGGAAATAGGAACGCAGGGCAGCGCCTTGTTTCCTGATGGCCTCCTCGCCCTGCTGATCTGCGAGAATCTACAAGTTGTTGTGCGGTGTCATGTTGAGTGCGACATTACAGAATTCACACCACTTCCGGACCTGATCTTGTTTTCCGATGGGGTTCCCCATAACAGCACGCGGGCAACCGGCGCGCTTCCACTGCCACCTAATGTCCCTCATTGACAGCTGAAGCTGTCGTGGGGGCGCCTTCAGGTCCTTCTTGTTGTCCTGGGAACTGATAAGGAAGTACCCTTCGAAGTCGTCGTCCGAAAAGTAGACCATTCGTGCAGGCCACCGCTCGGAATTGTATTTCCTGGCCACCTCGGTGCCCAGCAGCGACCTCGCTGCAGCCGCGTTGTGCTGCCCACACACAGCGTAGTAGTAGTATTGTCCCGCCAGCTCATCCCTCCAATCCTTCGGTCTCAGACGTTCTGCCCTGGTCCCCAGAGTCGGTTTATCAAGCCCCAGCGGCGCAAGTTTCAGGGTTGGTAAATCGTAAGACTGCGCTTTGTTTTCGAACGCCAACCGCATCGCTTCTTTGATCCCTTCCACGAGCACGGGATCCAGGGACCGCTGGTTGTACAGGTCCTCCCAGTCCCCGAGGTCGACGACCTGCGCAGGGCTAATGTCGAACTCCCGCTTTGTCCGAACGCCGTCTTTGTACTCGAGGAAATACCCGGCGTCGACGTCGATGGGAGTCCCTGTTGTCAGTGGAGAAGACGGTCCAGACTCAGGCTGCTTCTGTATCGAAGACGGTCGTTTGGCAGCCTGCCGACCCTGCTCCCCGTCGGTCCCCTTGTGTTTCTCCCCCGCAGTCCTGGGGGCCTTGCTCTTTAACTTCTTTGTAGAACTGGCGAACTCGTCTGGACAATCCCCCCTCCTCTTTTGCGGAGCTCCTTGCGAGCCCAGGCCTCCCGCGTCCACCTCCTCCACACCCTGTCCCTCGCTCGCCTCCAAGTCGACCCCTGAATAGGCCGCCACCTGTACTGCAGGCCCCGTACTCTTACGCTGAACTGGAGCATCAGTCTGAACCCAAGGAATAGACAACACAGACCGCCGCGTGTCACTCAACGGCGGAGCAGTCCCCTCATCCTCACTGTCGTCGAACTGACCTCGGCTCTCGCCACGGTGCAGCTGAGTGGCGGGACCAGAACCTAGATCACCGCCCTCCGCCCCTGCCCCGCTTGACTCGCAACCGCTGCACAGCTTCAACGGCAACGACAGCTCCAGGGATGAGTTGACGTCGCAGGGGACGTCTAGAGCGATGTTTTTGTCCTCCAACATGTCGAAAAATTCACGCGCCAAAACAAAACCGCTACCGAGAACGAGTTCTCTGTAGAACGGGGTGTTCACAGCACCCGCTCCGAACCCCTCACACAATTCGAGGTGCAACAACGTCCCTTTCGAATTGGCAACGACGTTGCCCTTGGCGCCATAAACTTTCTGCATATAGAAATGTCGCCAGCCCCCCTTTGCGTCCTCCCACCACAAGACGGCACCAAGCACTCTACGCCTTCTGCTGTCATCGATGAAGATGACAGGACCACATGGCTGCGCAGTGGGGTTGGAAGCGTCTCCACAGCACCAGTTGATGAACCATTTCGACCTCGAATGGTTCGACCACCCTTGCGTGGCAGTAGACGACCGCCTCGTGGAATCTTTTCGTGATTCCTTCCCGGAGGTCCCTGTTGGCTCCACCTCGCCCTTGGAAGAAGACATACTGTCTGCGAACGACAACGCAAATCAAACAGCACACCATGAAGTCAACATCTATCAAAACACAGAAGAAACAGAACACTCGCTGCCGCACGTCAACGCAGGCTGCAGCGCAGCGAAAGCTGCGCACGAAGACACCCGGGCACTCAAATCCGGAACGGTGAGAAGGGGTAGTCCGCCGGGATCCGAACTTCAAGCGGGCAGGAGACCGAGAGGCAGACAGAGAGAGAGAAGCAAGTGAAATCTCGCAGTGCGCATGGGATCACGCGCTGTTTGTGCGGCACACGGGGCACCCCGAAGAACAAAGACAGACAAACGCACAGTGAAAATCGCGAAGTTCGCCGGGATCCGAACAAAAGGACGGTGCGTGAGATAGAGACGGCGGAAGCAGATTCCGGGAATTTTTCGCAGGAATCAACTGGCGGTCATGTTCGAAGCTCGCGGTCGACGGGGTAGTGTTCCCGACAGTCCAACAGCAGAAGCTCGCCAGAAGCCAAACCAGAACAGAGAAGCAGCCATGCAACCAGCGTCCCAGAACCGTGCTCGACCAAACGCACTTCGGAACCGTTGCCGGGCGAGTTGTGCAACCCACCCGGAACCACGAAGACTCACGACAAAGCAACGCACCTCCCGAAACGTGAAGTTCGCCGGGATCCGAACTTCAGAACGATGCGACAGGCAGAAACGGCGTCTCGGACACACAATCCGCAAGTCTAAGGTTGTTAAACTCAAAACCGACCCAGGAAGGACACACCGGAATGAAAGGCTGGTTGAAATGGAGGAGTCCAGGGACCTACGAAATGTTGACACGGCTGTCGCTTTCGAGCTTGGGTCCATCCAGTGCCAAGCTGTGCAGAACGCGAAATCGAAAATCGGAGTAGTTCGGATTAGGGCGGACTTTGGCTGTTGCCGGAATCCACTAGGGATCCGGAAGACCACCGTCTGTGGCAATACACAAGCGACTCGTGAAGTTCGCCGGGATCCGAACTTCAGGAGGACGCGAGAAAGAGAGACAGAGAGAAGCATCCAAAGGCGCACGAGGAAAAACCCCAGGGTTCCACAACCGACCGCAGGTTTCGATGGCAGCAGTCATCAAGTGTAGGCGTAATTGGTAGCAGGACCGTTTTCGACTCCGCTTAACACTCGAAGCTCGGAGGCCGGTAGGACGCAAAGGCCAACCCGCAAAGTTCGCCGAGATCCGAACTTCAAGAGGGCGCGACATGGAAAGAGACGGCGTGCACTAGCAACTGCTGCCTCCCGCGCCTTTCTCCACTGTTAAAACTCTGCTATGTTCGACAGCACACAAGCCTCTCACTCGTCTCCCTTCTTTTCGCTTGAGCAGGATATCCAACCACACGTCCAGATCTTGTGACAACCGCGGTTCCTTGGGGACGAGGTCGCGAACCGTAACCATACAAAGCATTCATTGACGATCCGTAAACGCGGACCAGCGGATCGTCGACCGTTGCAGTTTCCGAAAAGACGGACATGTATTTCATCCTAACAAACACTCCCGGTCGTGCTAAGGAGTTCCCTATACAGTCCCGTATGGCGAAAACTTTCTCCTCGACCTCCCTAAGCAACGAAAAGTTTTGGACCGACCCTGCTATAACCAAATCTCGCCACCCATCTACACGTTCAGGCCCGGGCGTCGAATTTGGACCCCTCGATTGCCACCTCGTTGTGTGATACAAGCACAACTGCATCAACGAGTTTCCTGCTCTTGTTCGACGCAGCGACACATAGAACTTTGGCGAAATCAGACCCAGACACAGTCAATCGCACACAACAGTATGACACTTGTGGAGAATTCCCGGGGCACCGGAGCGGGTACTAGCCCAGGAACGAGCAGTGACGAGCGCAGTCCAGCAACTCTTGTTTCCGCGAGCCTCCCCAAGTTCGTGGCGACGAGCTGACGTAGTGGGATTCGAGGCGGCTGAAATGGCGGCTAATGGAGCCCAGCGCTCTGCGCATGTGGTTCAGGAACTTGTGTCCGAGGACAGCGTCAGACAGCGGGATGAGTTTCCCGAACTCCAACATGTTGGCGAATTTGTACTGGCTTGCCCAAGGGCAGCGACTCTCCATCGTGGCCCAATTCCCATCGCACCAGTCGTCAATATGTGCGTCCTTGCATGGGACGACGGTCATTCAGGGGTCCTTGTCGAAGTCCTCTGCGGTCGCTCCGTGGATCGTAGTCACACTGTTGAAATGCCGCACTGATCTTGCACAAGGAGGAAACGGTTCTGCCAAGCGAATGTGCGTTTCGGGACTCATGGTTTGTGGTGTCGAAAAGATCGACTCAAAGATTCGTGGTGTCGAGAAGGTCCCATCCATTACGCGCCCTACACACCACGCGCACATACCAAACGACACACACGGGGACGCTGAAACTCGTAAACATAGTTGGCGAGCAATCAAACGACATAGGTCCCTCGCTGTGGTTGTGCACTGGGGTTGGAACGCGAGTTGGGTTTTACGAAAGGCAAGAACCTGAAGTTTGCTGGGATCCGAACTTGGCGGAATGCCATGGGAGAGACACAACTGTCTATCAAACTTGCCTTTCCATTCTTTCCTAAAGTTCGGATTCCGGCGGACTTCACATTTTCACAGGTCCACTGCTGTGGTTGTGAACTGGGGTTGCAACCCGAGTTGGGTTTAACGAAAGGCAAGAACCTGAAGTTCGCCGGGATCCGTACTTCGCAAAATGCCGTGGGAGAGAAACAGTTGTCTGTCAAACTCGCCTTTCCATTCTTTCTTGAAGTTCGGATCCCGGCGTACGTCACATTTTGACAGGTCTTGTGCTGTTGTTGTGCACTGGGGTTGCAACTCGAGTTGGGTTTCACGAAAGGCGAGAACCTGAAGTTCGCCGGGATCCGTACTTGGCGAAATGCCGTGGGAAAGAAACATTTGTCTGTCAAACTTGCCTTTCCATTCTTTCTTGAAGTTCGGATTCCAGCGGACTTCACATTTTCACAGGTCCACTGCTATGGTTGTGCACTGGGGTGGCAACTCGAGTTGGGTTTTACGAAAGGCAAGAACCTGAAGTTCGTCGGGAGCCGTACTTGGCGAAATGCGGTGGGAGAGAAACAGCTGTCTATCAAACTCGCCTTCCCCTCTTTCTTGAAGTTTGGATTCCAGCGGACTTCACATTTTCACAGGTCCACCGTTGTGGTTGCCCGCTGGGGTTGCACTGCATGTTGGGTCTTGCGGAAGGCGTGAACCGGAGGTCCACCGGGATCCGAGTTTGGCGAAATTACGTGGGAGAGACACAGATGTCTATCAAACTCGCCTTCCCGTCCTTTCTTGAAGTTCGGATCCCAGCGGACTTCACATTTTCACAGGTCCCCCGCTGTCGTGTGGTGGCTGCAAAAAGTTCGTCGTTGGATGACCAACAAGTTTCGATGACCGACGAGGTTTGTCGTCCAGTGGCGTTCGATGTCTGCCAACATTTCGATGCCCGCCGAGCCAGTGCTGTTGTTGTGCACTGTGGTTGCAACTCGAGTTGGGTCTTACGAAAGGCGAGAACCCGAAGTTCTCCGTGATCCGTACTTGGCGAAATGCCGTGGGAAAGAAACAGTTGTCTGTCAAACTCACCTTGGCATTCTTTCTTGAAGTTCGGATTTCAGCGGACTTCACATTTTCACAGGTCCACTGTTGTGGTTGTGCACTGGGGTGGCAACTCGAGTTCGGTTTTACGAAAGGCAAGAACCTGAAGTTCGACGGGATCCGTACTTGGCGAAATGCGGTGGGAGAGAAACAGTTGTCTATCAAACTCGCCTTCCCCTCTTTCTTGAAGTTCGGATTCCATCGGACTTCACATTTTCACAGGTCCACCGCTGTGGTTGCCCGCTGGGGTTGCACCGCGTGTTGGGTCTTGCGGAAGGCGTGAACCGGAGGTCCACCGAGATCCGAGCTTGGCGAAATTACATGGGAGAGACACAAATGTCTATCAAACTCGCCTTCCCGTGCTTTCTTGAAGTTCGGATCCCGGCGGACTTCACATTTTCACAGGTCCCCCGCTGTCGTGTGGTGGCTGCAAAAAGTTCGTCGTTGGATGACCAACAAGGTTCGATGACCGACGAGGTTTGCCGTCCAGTGGCGTTCGATGTCCGCCAACATTTCGATGCCCGCCGAGATTTGATGGGGCGCCAGGTTCGATGCCAAACAAGGTTCGATGGCCGACAAGGTTCGATGGCCAGCAACGTTCGATGTGCAACAACGTCGTCACGAACTGTCTTTTGTCCATTCTCGAACAGGGATCGACCTTTTTTACGGTTTTCTACCGTGTGGTGGACCAATTGCCCTGCGTTCTGCGTACGACCAATGGACGAGGAGGCAGGTCGAATGCASTGCAATCGGGGCGAGAAAAGTGAACCGCTYGGCTGGCATGTCGGTGCCCTRGTCGGCGACCGGCCGATCAATCAGCTAATTGTCCAACCACAAACCGAGAAGTCGATCAATCAACTAATCAGTTACTTGTGCCAACGCTCTCCTGTCAACCAGTTTGCTGGATCGGTGGTACGCCTGCCGGTTGGGCGATCGCGCAGAGGGTGATGCCACGGTAGCAACGCAAACACACGTTCGGCTGTGTGGTTGGTGGACTGCTGGATCAACCGGTCGTCCGACTGCAGTCCGAACAGTCGTTCAGTGATGTTGGTAGTGGTGGATCTATTGACCAGTCTACTGTTCGCTCGGGGTACATCAACGAGTGTGATGGATCGGTCGCTCGCCGCCAGGTTGGTCGTTCGCGCACGATGCCACGTGTGTTTTGTTATTACATTTTGTACTGGCGAAAAACACACACGCGGTGACAACGTTGAGACAGCACACGCGATCAATCGACCGATCGCGAGCTCTCTGTTCGTGTTCGGCGATTGGTTGACTGGGTGCGTCTGCTGTCCCGACAATGTCACATCCTGCTTTGATTGATCATCCATTCGACAGATCAGCGGCGGTATCGTGATGGTCCTGTTCATCACTCACGTGCAGTATGGCCGATGTCACCACT